CAAAAAATCAGGAAGAGAGGCAAGCACAACTCTGTTTTAACCTGTACCCTGGCAGGAAATTGTTTTACAGTGGCAATGTCTTCAGTATGACGCCAGGGCAGGTCCAGAACATCTAAGCTACTGGATAATGATCTGCCTAAGCTGACAGGACAGGAGAATAAGAAGAGTTCCCTCAGTGGCTATATACCTTACACTTTAAAAAAATAAGCTTTGAGTCAAGCCAGCTTTTTTTCTTTTCAGCTTATTTCAAGCTCAGTTTTATTGCAAAAAACTTTAACAGCTTTTTTCCAGAAACAATCTCAGAGAGCAAATTGTGCTTATTATAGCAACCTTGTCTTCATTAGTTTAACACATTTTCACTAAAATAAAAAAACAGAGCTTAATGAAAGTATAGCAAGTCACAGCAGCTGTGCCTCAGTCACTTCATTTACACAATGCACTCTGAACGTACCCATAGGTTTCTTTTTATATTTAAACTGTCCTCAAATTCCTTCAATTCATGGGCTATGGCATTTACCTTTAAAAAGATCCAACTGAAGAAGTTCATTTTTGTCACTAGCAAATACAGTTCTGTTCCAGCTACATGCTTACCATGTCTTCTAGCTGAACAGTAGTTGCTGGTGGAGGTGGTGGTGAGGGTGGACTATATTGTGAAGGAGGTAGCTTTCCTGCAACAATGGCACCATTATCATTTCTCCTACTTCCTACATCTATTATTAGAAACACAAAGTAATGGGATCAGCACATAATCTAGCAAACCCTAAGGGGGAAAAAAGAGGTAAGTCACAGTAAAAATTTTACTATTCCTTTGGGATCGCTGTGTAATCTAATTAAAAGGATCAGGCTATTCTTTATAGGCATGCATGTATATATACAGAGAAAGATAGATATAAACATTCCTGTATTTGACCTTCTTTTCAGCTGCTTGGAAATAATAGTTTCCAAGGGGCTTGTTTCTGTGTTATGCCTCAACATGCCTGTGGCACTTGTCATATAGTACAAAGAACTGAGGTACTCTGTACTGCTTGCCAATACTAGATCCAGCGTGCAAGGGCTGCTCCTAAGGGCCAAAATCCAGTTCAGGGAGAGAGCAGCAAAACCCAGAAAGGCCATATTAGACTCTGCAAGGGGTAAGATCTTTAAGGGGCTCACCATCAGTAAAATAAAATGTTATTTTAACTTTCCTGAGAACATACTGCAATTTCAAGGAGCCATAGATCATGCTCAGCATCATCGTATCTTCACATGCAATAGCTGGACTCTGGCCACATCCTGCCTGTAGGACTGGGATGATCTACGGGTGGCCTACAACCCTCATCTCCCCCTACCAGCTGGTTGAGCCTGATCGTGCACAGGATCCAGCCCCTCATTCTTTTGTCTTGCAATGCAGACATCCTGAGGAGGTCTGATCTGCAGACCTACGCAGCTTCAGGCTTTTCCTTTAGTATACAAACTTCCTTAAAGAAACAGAGAAAGGTATTCTTATTTACTCTCCTATTTCTGAAGCAGATCATGGTAGCAGTAGTTCCAAGATAAGGGAACTTTGCTCGTTCCAGGGACTAGAGTGACACCATGTGGTAGCTGTGGTTTTGGTGGTGGTTTGTGTTTTTTTTTTTTTTCTTTCTCTTGAAGCAAGCAGGAAAAACATAAGGAAGGTAGTTCAAGTCAGTACAATACTCAAAAGATTTCAAGAGTGAAAGTATGCCAAAATATGCATTTTGTACATGTGTGTAGGTACACATACATTAAGCTTAAGCATAGACAGGATCAACACATAGTTACAGACCAATCTGATCTATGTTACTTTAGAATCATAGAACGGTTAGGGTTGGAAGG